GTTCCGCTGAGCCCACGGAGAAGGGCTTCGGCTGCCTGTGGCTCACAGCAAATGACCTTTGGCTCGGAGGCCCCAGACTTCATCCTCGGCCTTGAGTTCTCCACGGTCACCCCAGCCTTGCCTTCTTTCTCTCCACAGCCTTCGTTTTCCCACGGTCCTCTACCTCCTCCTTCCCGCCTACTTCTCCAGGAGTGGCCTCCTTTCCCTCCATGCGTGGGTGTGCCACCCACTTCCCCAGGCGAACACCGGAGCAGTGCAGGCTGCTGCGCTCCACGGTGCCTCCAGGGGGACGGCCACCCAGCAGGGGCCCAGCTCCAGGTGTGCTTCTCCCTCTGCCCTGGGCATCACGGGCAGGTCAGAGCACCTGGAGGCAGATGGAGTCGAGGCCGTGGGGTGAGCCTGGAGACGGCCGTACTGGACCCACGTGGGAGTGAACGGGCAGGACAGCCGGAGGAGCTGGGCCCTGGTTCTCACAGATGAATTAGCCTGCTGACCGTGCAAGCTCTGGAGTCAGGGTGGGTGACTGGAGTGTCCCTGCACTGGGACCAGGGAACACTCTACCTTGGGGCCAGGCAGCTCCCTCAGGCTGAGAACGGTCTCTCTATCAACAAGCTGGGAGCTGTGTCCATGAGCAACATTCTCCGTCATTGAGAGAATGAGCCCCTCAGTCCTGAGAGGACGGGGTTGGTGGTCTACCCTGTGTCCACTGTGGAACCGACCTTGGTCCAGATGCCTTAGTCAGCCTGGGTGAGGAAGAGAGCACGCCACACGGGCGTGCTGACCAGCAGAGATTTGTGGTCTCAAGATTCCAGAGACTGCAAGTTCAAGATCCAGGTGCCACGTAGCTGATCCTTAGGCCTCTCCTCTCTTCTGGGCCTGGAGGTGGCCTCTGTCCCCCATGTCCTCACACCCCTCTTTGTGCATCTTGACGTCCAGATCTCCTCATAAGTACACCAGTCATTTGGGCCGGGACTCGCCCCGTGAACTCTTTTGACCTTGACTACCTCTCCAAAGGTCCTATCAACAAACACTGTGAGGTCGGGCCAGGACTTCAACACGTGAAACGTTGGGGAAACAATTTAGTCCACAACACCTGGGGAGAAGGCAGGCTCTGCCGAAAGGCTCATGGATTGGCAATTCTGGAAAGCACTGCGGAGAGTGGATTGGAGGACTTCGCCTGTTTGAAAGTGGGAACAGGAAAAATAATTAAGGAACGCCACAAAGCGCAGTTTGGAAAGCTGTCAGGGCTGCTGGAGTGGAAAGCTTATCAGCAGGTACTCGGAGTGGCCTTCAGCGCCAGTAGGCTTTGCCTGCAAGTGCCCGCGGGGCTTCTCCTCAAGGTCCAGACAGTCCTATCAGTGGACCGGCCTGGACAGTTAATTGGGCTGAAAGGAACTGCATGTTGTAAAATGACCTTTTCATCCAGAAACACAGACAAATTTAAAGCTTAAGCGCACAGCAGCTTCAGGTAAGATTGTAACATTAAAATTAGGAGAGGAGATGAGGCTGAGGTCCACCCAGCCATGGGATAGATTTGAATTGTTTGCGTCTGTCTCCAAATCATTTCCTTCTCTTCTGTTGGCTGGTACCTTTGAAGAGAAAGAGTGACCTCGAAGACTTCAAGGAATGCAAGACGTTCACCTCTATTATATGAGGTGGCCAACAGCTCTGCAGGGGTGGGCAGGGAGTGGGGCAGCTGGTCTGTGAGCAGTGTCATTTGCTAACACCCCGCCAGGCCATAGCTCAACCTTTATGCTCATCTGGTTTTCCTTCAAAATGTCAGTAAAACCCCATCATCTCAGTTTAAAACACGTTCATTTTGTTAGAATTTTTTTTTTGACATTTTAGAAAGCTGGATTCACATTTGACAGCAGAGATTTTTGAAAGATGCTTTTCCTCATTTTCAAAAGAGAAAATTTTTGCATGTTGGGTTTGAAGTGAATCTCATGTCATGAAGCAGGAGAACTCTTTTTCCTACAGTGGTGCCATGGTAGTGATCACTGGGATGTTGTTCCCTGGGTAGTTTTGGGTGACAATTCTGTGCTGGCACCATGCCAGGTATGAGCAGCGAAAGAGTGACCAGGGATGTAGGTGGTTGTAGGTCTTTCAAGGGCTTAAAGTCCGGGAGGGGAGACAAGAGCTGAGAAAACCACTGCACCCATCAGTGCGCTGTTAAAATAGATGCTCCACATCCGCAGGCAAAACCTGGACACCCCGTGGGAGGCAGAGGAAGGGGTGAAGTTCACGGCAGCAGGAAAGATGAAGCATCAAAGACAGGGGTTCACAGCTCCACCATAGGGTTGGGGAGGCTGGGACTTGGGGTCCGTAGGTACCCAGAGGTTGCTTCCCTCAGCTGTGGGTGAGTGAGGGCAGGAAGGAGAAGGCAGTCAGGAAGGTGGGCCACGTGGTCTCTGTTCTAGGGAAGATGACCACATCCTCTGTGCTGAGGCTTCTGGTTCACGTTCAAGACAACACTGAGCACTTGCATGGTGGGCACCTGGGGCCACCAATCAGGAAGATCTGAAGCTCCAAAGCAGAGGAAGGAAGGAGGAGGCGGGTTCTTTTTCACCCCCAGTCCCCAAACTGTGTGCAAACGATGCATTTGACACAGAAGTCTTAAGAGAGCCCTGGACCATCAGTGCACAGTGTCACTGGAAATCCTCCCAGAGATTGCCTGGTCCAACTCTGCCCCTTGTGGCAGTGTGGTGCCTGCAAGAAAAGGAAAGGAATCTGTCCCTATTATATAGACCTTTTTTTTTCATAAATTCTAGGACCACAGGTCTATATTTCAATTCAATGAGGGTGAAGCATTCTGTGAGATCTAATGGATGAAGTCGTAGATCTGATTCTCCTGAAGTTCCTTCGGCATTTATTCCCCAGCTTAATATATTTGGAGCATATATTTTGCTGAGGTTGACAGACGCAGGGTTTAATATTTCTGTATTACCAGTGGAGGAAATCAGACACCGGGCAAGGGAGAGGCTGCGTCAAATTCAGGCATAAGACTCTGCCTGTGTGAGCATCTGGTCTAGGTTGCTGGTTCTCGATCCCATCTGCTGTAACACTGTGTGCATGATCTGATGGGCATCAGATTATGGGGCATGTTGAAGTTGTTTAAATTAAACACATACACACACATACACACATACACACACAGTCCACCCCTTATATCTACCAGTTCCAAATTTGAAAATTCAATCAACTGAGGTTTGAAAAGATTCCAATAAAATTCTGTCCATGCTGAACATGTACAGACTTTCCCTTCTTTCTTAAACAGTACAGTATGACAACTGTTCCCACAGCATTTACCTTATTAGGTGATGTAAGTCATCTTGAGGTGACTTAAAGTCTATGGGAGGACCTGCAGAGGTTATATAAGGGATGTGAGTATCCACAGGGGTCCTGGAACCCACCCCTCTGGGACACTGAAGGACCACAGCATGTGAAGTAAATAATACCAAGGGATCTCAGAGAGGTGGGAGATGGGGAGTGGGCAGGAGGCAGGAGGAGAAGGACGCCTGTGGAGCTCGGAGGAGCAAAGCAAGCTCTGTGTGTGTGTGTGTGTGTGTGTGTGTGTGTGTGTGTGTGTGCATGCATGTCTCAGCATTGCTTCAATCTGTGCTTCTGAGACTCGACCTTTTGGAACCACATGGGAGAGTTAAAAGCCATTTGTTGTCCTTGTCCCTGGGGAGTCCTTCATTCCCTGGACTGAGGGCTGGGCTTGAGGGGCACCACAGCCCTGAGAGCCCCTGGAGGAGCTGGTGTGCTGGGGGCCAGCCTGCAGGTGGAGCCTGCCCGGGAGCACAGTGGGGGGCCACGGGGTGTACACTCAGTCTCGAAGGTAACCCCAGACCACCAACCACACGGGGCAGTGTAGCTCCACTGTGTGGCCACCCTTGATGTTTGCTGTGTGTTCTCGAGCACAGACGCAGCTCCCCATGCCCAGCAGGAGTGATGGACCTACTAAGGACACCCGGGGAGGTCACGTGGTCTCAGGGCCGCTTCCTCCTGGCCTCGCTCCCTCCGTGGCTTGCAGATCACATCCTCCTGCTGTGTACTCATTGGTCATCCTCTGTGTCCTGGCCTCCTCTTCTCAGAGCTCAGGCATAGACTCAGTGCCCACGAGCAACTCTGAGTTAGGAGGACTGACTCCCACGGGAGCCGCAGGAGAGACCCAGCTTCTGCTTTGAGCTCCCACGCTCCTGTCTGGGGAGAGGAGGCAGGTGACGGGTCAGCATGAGGCACTGCTCTGCACAGGGAGGAGGGACATGGGGGAGGGTGTCAGGGACCCTCGACGTGGTCTTGCCCGTCTCCTTCCTGGGCTAGGAACCAGGATGCCCGTGTTCATTGTGTCTCAAGGTGTTCCCTTGTGTCTGTTGAGGGTCCCACAGGTTCAGGAATGAGCCAAAGGGCTGAGCCTCTTCCTAAGAGGCTGGACCAGGAGGAGGCCAGGAGGCTTTTAATCACGTCCAGGGCCCATGCTGAGTCTCCTTCTCCGAGCTGAAGAGGTGTGACAACTACAGATAAAGTCAGCTGCTCTTCTTTCTTGTCACAGCGTGACTAAAAGCCTTGAGAATCCACATGCATGTCCAATCCTGCTCTGACACCACCTGCTGTGTCCTTGTAGCGCGGCTGTGAGCAGGAGGACAGATGTGGGGCAGGGGACGGGGAAGAAATGCCAAACGCAAAGGCCCAGGCTCATGGCATCAAAGAAAGGGAGGGAAAAAGCTCCTGGGAAAGCCAAGAGGGACGGGGACAGCAGGTGCTCCCCTTCCTGGAAATGCAAACCTCCATCACGCCGACATTGGAAAGCATTCTCCCTGTGTGTGTACCTCGTGTCCCCAAGTAAGCCACCGGTAGCACCCCTGGGGCCACCCTGCGTCTCTCTGCCTTTCCATCTCTCTGTGCAGAACTGGAGCAGTGAGCTCCCTGCCATTCTCCTCTGCTCCACTAGGTGGCTCTGGGTGCTCTCAGATGACTGCGGGTGCTCAGACAGGTGAAGGAATCTCATTGGCTCACGGGAGGCGTGATGCCACCGGGCAGCTCTTTTTAAGAGAAAAGCCAGGACCTGAAGCAGCGACCCCTGAGCAGTGCTCTCTGTGCTTAGCGGCGGGGACCCGGCTGCTGTGTGAAAGCCAACATGAGTGAGGTGAGTGATTCTTCGGCTTGCAGGGGAAACTTGGGAGCGAGGAGAAGGGGTCTTCCACATGCCGAGTCTCAGGAATCCTGAAGGGTTTAGGAGCGGTGCCTGAGAGGAAATCAGCCCTGCAATTATTTGCTTGAGGACCGATGCTCTGCATGTCTTGGTTTGAATGGCAGCATAGACATTGGATAACTTTGCAACTTTTAAAATCAGCCTTACCAAGAGGAAGGGATGAATTGTTTGCTTTTGATTTTATTGTGACTTTGGAAAATGCTTTGGCTTATACAGGGAGCGGATGGTTTTATTCTCATGGAGATTTGTGCTTCTCCCAGCAAGCCCGTCTTCTCGTGTTTGCCTGGGTGGACACCTTAGCTACCTGGGGGAGATCAAGCCTGGGATGGCGGGGAGCTGGGGTGAGGATGCGTGCTTGGGTGCATCTCATGCAGGCACACTGCCACTACAAAGTGCACCTGCAGTTAATCACAGCACCAGGGACAGACACAGACAGTAGGGACCGTGGGAAGCCCAAGGGTGTCAATAAGCTCCAACATGGGGGGAGGCACTGGCGGAAGAGCAGCTAATTTCAAATGGAAAGTCGCTTCTGCATATGTGTACACGGAATGTTTTGTTGGGGCAAACTGATAGCTTGTGTATTTTTTAAAAGACTATAATCGCTTTCTCTTCCACAAGGCAGATTTGGGTTGTAAATACCATCCTCATTCAGTCTGATAACCCGGCCAAGTCCTCCTCGTTTCCTCTTGGATGGCACTTTAATGATTACTTTTAGAGAACTCTTATCATCTTTGTATTTTTTAAGAGATCTGTTGGACAGATGGGCGATCTTTTTTTGGAAGTTTAGAGTAAAATTAACTTCAGGAATAAAATGCCTCCCCCTGCTCTTATCTCTCTGCTGGGTGACTTGGGATATTGACATGGTGGGCAGGAGGTCAGAGCTCTGACAACTTAGGAACTGGGCTTGGGATGAGCCAAGAGCCTGAGGTAGGAAGGCAACGTCGGGTGGGAGATGGACCGTCTCCGGCAGGCCACCTGGCAGGCTGCCAGGCAGATGTGGTGACAAGGGTGAAGTGCTGGGCACTGTCCCCGGCATTTCTGCACCTGCCCCTTCTTTGAGCCTCCCAACTCTCCTCTGCAGTAGGTGCCGTTTTTATTCCCAGTGGACAGATGAGGAAACTGAGGCTCAGAGAAGTGAACCAGCTGGCTCAAGGTCACCAGTTAGGGACCATCAGAGCCAGGGCTTGGACTGCAGTGCTGGGCTGTTGGCCATCAGGTGCATGCTGGTGTCTGAATGTGGGTGGACTCTCTGAAGAGCTGGGGCCAGAGGAGGGTGCGAGGCCAGGAAAAGGAGGGTGGGGCTCTGAATTAGGGCACTGCCTGCCTGCTTAGGGGAGGGGCTTTGCGTTGGACCCTCGGGGATCTGAGGAATGTTTGCTGTTGTTGGTCGGCTCACCTTGCTCACCACATGAAGGGATGGCAGTGCAGATGGGTTTTCCTTTATACAAAACCTAGTGGGTAGAAGGGGCCAGAAGCCACATAGCCCTGGGCCCCTCTCTTGGGTCAGGTCAGCTAACCTGGAACACGAGCTCAGTTGCCCATCTCCTGCTGAGGCTCCTTCCCTATGTGGTCCTCATGAGTTCTGCAGGGTGCTGGGCGGGGCAGGGCCACGTACCATAAGTCTCCAGGGAAGAGCATGCATCCCAGAGCTCACCCCACGATTGGGATCATAACCTGGTTTCTGCTGAATGTGTAATTAGGGCGCTCTGCAGGTCCCGCTCCGCCTCCAGCACATCACGAGATGGAGTGCTCTGCCTTGCTCCTTGAGTGTGGGCAAAGCCCCCAGAATGCAGACCCTGCTGCCCTGCTCACCGCCCGGCCGCTCCTCCCCGTTCTCACCCTGTCAGTCACCTTGCACCTTGCAGCCCCACCTTCTGACCTCGGCTCCTGGCTGCCCTCCAGGCTCCTGGGCATGCATTCCTTGGACAGCAGGAATTTGTCCTTTGACTAAAACTTAAATCTGCTTAAAACATTTAATAAAGTGGAACAGAAGTTGCTTTCTGAGGACTGGGTCCCCCCTTCCAAAAGTTCTTAGTTGGATGAATTAAAAGTGACTTTTTTTTCGTTTTAATAACTCTCGGGCAAGGATGGATTCCAGATGACCATTTATTTGCTCCTGTGACTAAGAGTCAGAGGCCGGGCAGTGGTTTTATCCGTTTCCTCCGACCTCAGGCTTTTGGAGGGTCTGGTGGGCAGGTAGTTCCCTCTTGGCTCCTGGAGCTGGGCTGGCTGTGCAACTCCCAACGCACTAGCTGTTCCCTGGGGCTGCATGGGAGCCGGGCTGGGCTCAGAGACCTGAAAGGGCAGAAGGGTCTCCAGTCTGGAGGACAAAGGCAGAACAGCAAACTGAGCCTGGCGCTGGCTTTAAACTGGGCAGCGTTGCGACACGACATCATCTTCATCCCCTGGGACAACATTTTTTGGGGGGTTGACATGTGATTGAAAAGAGCAGCTCAAGTATTGCAAGGAAATAAAGTCCAAATTTAGGGCAACGTGAGAGTGGGGAGGTGGTTTGTGGGGGCGTCTGATTTACATTTCGGTATTAAAGTGTGTCAGATGTGCCTGGAGCAATCTATGAGATGACTCGGGAGATAATTTAGCAGGGATCAAAATGCAGGCTGGAGTCTGTTAGCTGGATCAGAAGCCCAGCTTACAAAGCGCGGCAGCATCTCGTCTTTGGTCTCACCACACACAAGAGAAAGCCTCCCTTTGTTTTCAGCCACCTTAAGAAAAAAAGTCCCGGTTTGTCACTTAGATATCTGTTTTTAAGTTGCTTTACCAAAGAACTTATTTAGTGGGGCCAGGAGTGAGATCTTGATGGGGCCAGGCGCACGTCTGGAGAGGGATGTGAACCTTGGCTCACCCGTTGCCCTGCGGGGTGCCGGTGGGGAGACTGTGCCCATTACATAACCCATCAGCTGGCAGCTGTTAGGAGACTGGAGACCCCTGGGGAAAAGCCCCTTCTAGGCCCGAGCTTCCCGTCCAGAGGGCTCTCTCCTGGCTTTGGCCAAGGTGGGATGGCGTGGCTCAGGGTTGTGACTCAGGGTGGTTTTCCATCTAGACCTTGGCCACAATGAAAGGATGATGCCTGCCAAAGGCACCGTGCAGACAACACTGGCAACCTTTGTGGGCGAGTCTTTAGACACGTCTGTCGTGAGCCTGAAACACGACCTTCACTGCTGTGTGCTCCAATTATACAGCCATCTCGAAGGAAACTCGGGAGCAGGGGAGGGCCTTGTTCTGGAGGGACATTTTTCAGGGGAGGCTACCCGCACTTAGATCTTGGGATGAAGGCTTAGAAAAGACAGGAAGTTCTTTTTGGTTTTGATCAAAAGTAGACCTTGGTTTTAAAATACCATGCCACATTGTTTTAGGGAGCAGGTGCTTAGCTATCAGGGTGACCCAGTGAGGGGACAGACAATTAATAAAACAGTGCTAAGTAAGAATTATCATTGTAGTTTGGTGTTTCTTATGGTGTCACAGGGAACTGAAAGGAATGCTAATGGATGGTCAGGTTTGTAAGGAGCCATGGTTTGAGAGCACTAAGTGCGGATTCTGAGGGTAACTACATAGATTTGCAAGTGGGCCCAAAGACCCAACGATAGACGGCCAGTGGCAATTCACATCCTGATGTGATTTTAACCTCACTAAGGGGTGTAACTGGTGTAACTGCATCGGAGATACAGGAAGGCCCATAGGATCCATTTGATTTTGCTGGTCCACACAACGAGGGCCTCTGCTCTAATTGGGGATATTAAGACGCTGACTGCAGCTTAGATTCAAAGCTTGACTTTTCCTAGCAGGGAAGAGGCCAAAACTGAGCATAAAAAATGTGTTTTCTGGGCTGGTGACTTTAATGGAGAACCATAAAATTTATTTCCCCATCCCGCATTTCATTAACTGATGCCGCAGGATTAAAGAATCTCATTGTTTTTCTTTTGGATTCTAAGAATGACAGAGCACAAGATGTATTCTTACTTTTCCCCAGAAAGAAAAATTGAATAAATGACTCACAGTTTTATTTTATTAAAGGTTTATTGGAGTGGAGGGATCAAGACGAAAGGGTTTTGTAGCGGCAAGTCCCTTGAATCCGAGACGGACACGCTCTCGGCATTACTGATTAACATCCTGTTTCTTCTCTGTGTTTCATTAGAGGTGTTATCATAGGTGGGAGACGATTTGTTGATCTCCCTCTGTTCCCAGCCAGCTGGGCACACGGAACTATCTGAGCACACATGGAAGCCTCCAGCTTGGGGTTTTTTCATTCATTTCAAATGGCTTTCTGGAAAGGGCTCACACTGGGGGAGGAGAAGGATTTCAGGTGCTGCAGAGACACAGGTTTCTATTATATTTGAGTGAGACGTGGGTACCACACAGCTTTTAAGAGCATGCTGTGGAAGGGTTACCAGTGGCACGCCATGGATCAGAAGGTCCCGCCCCAGGCTGTGAACTTCCTGGTGGGGACAGTTCTACGTGGTCCACAGGCCTAGACCCCGGATCGCCTCCTGGTTTAGGTCGAGTTCCTGAATGAATTGACGAATTTCCAAGAAAGGATTTGTCGGTTACTGTAACAGATGGGCCAGGCCCCCTCTCCTCCAAACCCTGAGACTAGAGGTCGAGGCACGATCCGAGGGATCCAGGGCATCTTTTGATCTTTCTCTTGGGTGGAAGCCTGGCTTTGCTGTGCAAATCCTTTTGAGTGGGAAATGGGTGCATGAGCATATTTGCAAAACAAATGCTTTCATGGCCGAAAATGAGAAAAAAAATGGGAAGTGCCTCAGCAGAAGCAACTCCTGACATTTGGGAAAATGTCAGAAAAAATACTAGGGGGGATGCTAAAATTCTAGTGTCTGTATTTCATGTCACCTTCTCCGAGACCATTTCACTTCAGGTTCGTCTGTTGGATTTCTAATAAGAGAGATCATACTGAGATG